GACAGGGACAGCCACCCCCCCTGGGGACCTCCATCCTGGGGGACCGCCACCGCCCCTGGGGACCTCCATCCCGGGGGACAGCCACCAGCCCCAAGGGACCTCCATCCCGGGGGACAGCCACCCACCCTTGGGACATCCACCACCCTGGGGGACACCCGCTAACATCTGCCCCTTCTCTTGCAGACAGCAGCTTACTGGAGAGCTACACGGAGGGGGAGATCCGGCAGCTGATTTCGGCGCTGGTGGAGCGCTACAGCCAGGCCATGAACTCGGGCGGGCACGAGCTGCCGCTCTTCCCCCGGGCAGGCAGCCGCAGGAAACGTGCCCGCGCCCGCCACAAACCCTGCGCCCTGAAGGAGCTGGAGGTGAGCGTCAGCGAGCTGGGCCTGGGCTACGAGTCGGATGAGACGGTGCTTTTCCGCTACTGCAGCGGCACCTGCGAGGCGGCCGTCCGGAGCTACGACCTCTCGCTGAAGAGCATGAGGAGCAGAAAGAAGATCAAGAAGGAGAAGGTCCGGGCTCGACCCTGCTGCCGGCCGCTGGCGTACGATGACGACGTCTCCTTCCTGGACGCCTACAACCGCTACTACACCGTCAACGAGCTCTCGGCCAAGGAGTGCGGCTGCGTGTGAAGGGCCGGGGCCCCCCCCGGGAGGAGCGGGCGGGAGAGGCGATGCCCCGGCCCCAAAACCCCGCTGGCCGCCAGGCAGAGGGACCGGGGGCTGCGGCGGGGGGAGAGGGACGGGCCCCAGACCTCTGGCTAGAGGAGAGACTGAGCTGCTGGTGCGTCCCTCGGCGTGACCGTCCCGCTCGCCGCACAGGACTAGAGATGTGGCTGTCGGTGCCGGCGGAGGCTGCGGTTGTTGGAGCGGTGACGGCTGCTTGCGGCTCTTGTCCCCCTCCGGGGGTGGCCCAGGGGTCCCTGTCAGCTGCCCCGGAGGGTGACAGTGGGTGTGCAACATGCACGGGGTGTGTGTCGACACTCGGGGTGCCTGGCGTGCGCGGGCTGTGTTACGTGTCACGCGTACAGGCGGAGGGGGTGTTGCGAAGCAGGTGGCCCCTGCACAGGGTGTGCCACACGCAGCAGAGGTGACGGGTGCGGGCTGTGCTGCACGCGCCGGGTGTTCCGTGTCGGCTGTGCTGCACGTGCCAGGGCGTAGTGCTTGTGCACAGGGGGTGTTGTGCAGGTGTTGCTGCGTATGGCATGGTACCAGGGGCGTGTGGTCCTGGAGGGGGTGTGCTGCACGCACGGCGTGTGTTACAGGCTGCACTGGAGGTGTGGGGTGCGTTAGACGGTTGCAGGTGCCCCAGGACGGGGGCTGAGCCCTGCAGTTTATAGTTGCCCTGTGCAGGGGTTTCCCAGGGTTTCGTGATCGCCGTGCTGGGGTCTCTGCCCTGCCAGGGGGATTTCAGCACCCCAGAGCCCCATGTTTGGGAGCAGAGATGCACCAACAGTCGTTCGCGCTCGGGGAAAGGCTCCGGCTCCGCTCGCCGCGCCCGCTCGTGCCCCCTTTGCCATCACCTCGCTCCCTGCAGCCCTGGGATTTTCTTCTTAAAACTCGTGATAATCTGAAGTAACTGGATTAACCTCCTTGTCCCCCCGCTGCGGGCAGCTGGGCTGGAGATCTGCCCCTGCCAGGGAGGTGACAGAGCCTCACGAGGCCACCAGCCAAGCCGTGGTTTGCAGCGCAGGCAGGAGCATCCTCGGTTCGGCATCCCCCGAGAGCAGGAGCAGCTCTCCTGGCCGCGGCACGTGAGTATCACCCATCACCTCAGCGGGGCCCGAGTCCTGCAGGAGAGGGGACTCAGGCCTGGGGTTTGGCTCTGGCTCGCATTTACAGCAGTGTCATTTGTGTTTACTCTGCGGAGAAATAAATGAGACCGCAGACTTTTGCATTCTCTGGGCAGGCTATATTTGTTGCCTGGGATTGATGGGTTTTCTCCCCTTGGCCCTCTTCCCAGAAAAAGCAAATCATAAACAGAAGGAGAATATTGGTGTCATGTCCTGGGCATTAACCAATGCGAGGGAAAATGCTCCACTGGCCACCCCCAGATCCGCAATAGCGTCCCAGCTCCTCGGTGCAGCAAAACAGGGGGGAAAAAAAAAAAAAATCCCATGTACCTCCATCCCATCATGGTCACAACGAAGAGCTTGTCTAGGTGAGCACAGCATCTGGGGGATGCTGCTGCAGAATTTTAGGGCACAGGTTGGCATCCCCGGGGATGAGACAGCTGGGTTTGAAATGGGAGACTGCTCTCCCCCCTGGGCGACCAGCAGCACTCCCGACCTCTGCAAAGGGCCAGGCTGGTGGGTTTGGGGTTTGGGTTTTTGGTTTTTTTTTTCTTGCTTTTTCATCCAAACACTGCTCTTGGCTGAGGGGAGCCAGGACGTAGTGAAGCAATATAAACACCATCCTTCAGCAGGGCTGCCCGCGCAGCCGCCGTCCCTGGGAAAGCAGCCTGCACTCTGTAACACGGAGTTTTCCCCTCGCTGATGGGAAAGGGAGAAGGCAGCTGCGCGTGTGGGGTGTGAAACCCGTCCGTGGGGTGAGCCGGCAAGGGCTGGCAAACCTGCCCCCGGGGATGCAAACGCTGCTGAGAGCAGACAAACTCGAGCCACGCTGCAGGTGCACGGAGAGCCCAAAACGGCCTCGCAAGGTGCCGCAGCACCATGGGGGAGAGTTTGCACCGCTGGGTT